GATGCTACAGGTGCTTTTAGGTGTATAGATTCATCCCTGGGTTGGGATGGGTCTGCCATCCCTGAACACATGGCTGTTTGCAGAGGCGCAAGACAGAACTCCAGGCAGCCCTGCCCTGCAGGAGCTGTGCACATCAGGCCAGTGGGGGCTCGCTCTCGTAGTCCAAACTCAGCTAAAACTTACGTAAGATTCAGAATGTTTATACCTCTGCTGTGTTAACCTGAAGCTGCCCTCCTCTACTGTGTACAAGTCTTCTTATGTATGAATATTAGATTTTTTAAATTGCTGTTCCTTCGTCCGTGAGTTAATCACATAGTTTTATTAATAGGGCATGTTATTTTAATTGGTTTTTGCCTGATAAACCTAGCTTGTCATCCTGAGATTAGATTCTATTGGACCATGGCTCATGATGCTTTTCTACATTGCTGGATCCAAGTTCTCCATCATTCTTTTAAAATCCTTGTGTCTAGGACCCCGGCGCAATGGTGTAGCAGTTAAGGTCCTCGCCTTGCACGTGCCAGGATCCCATAGGGGTGCCTGTTCTAATCCCAGTGGCCCCACTTCCCATCCACTCCCTGCTTACGGCCTGGGAAAGCAGTCAAGGATGGCCTAAAGCCCCCTGCACCCGCGTGGGAGACCTGGAAGAAGCTCCTGGTTCCTGGCTTTGGATCGGCTCAGCTCCAGCTGTTGTTGCTGCTTGGGGAGTGAACCATTGGACGGAAGATCTTCTGGTCTATCCTCATCTCTGTATATCTGCCTTTCCAATAAAGATAAATCTTTTTAAAAAATCCTTGTGCCCAGGTCTGTGAGGAATATTGATCCTTGTTTTATTTCCATACAATATCTCTACTTCCTTTGCATCCGTGTGAACACTAGCCCTATACCATGAGCTGGAGTGTTCCCTTCTCTCCTGTTTCCTGGAGAAATCAGTAAGAGACTTGGAGCAGTTCATTAAATATCTGATAGAGTTCACTGATGAAGTCATCTGAGAATAGGTTTACTTTGTAGCCAACTTGCAACTACTTACTTCAATCTCTTGTGAAGAACTCAGTCACATCATGTATTCTTCCAGTCCGCTTTGGTAATTGGTTCCTTTTGAGGAACTCATCAATTTTTTTTCAAAGTGTGCAATGTATTGGCATAAAGTTTTTAACAATATTTATTATATTCTCTTCTAATCCTAATTTTAATTGTATTAGTAGTGCTGTGCCTCCCTCTCTCATTCCTGATTTTATGAATTTGTGTTAGGCACCAGCACGAGGGCCCAATTGGCTAATCCTCCACCTGCAAGCATGGGTAGTACATCTGGATGCTGGCTCATGTACTGGTCACCCCACTTCCCATCCAGCTCCTTGCTGTTGGCCTGGGAAAGCACACGAGGATGGCTGAAAGCCTTGGGACTTGCTCAGCTCTGGCCGTTGCAGCCAATTACGGAGTGAACAAGCAGATGGAAGATCTTTGCCTCTGCTTCTCTCTGTAAATCTGCCTCTCCAATTAAATATCCATGTATACATTTTTGTGTTCATTCTACTTGGGATTTGTTGCGGTTCTAAAATGTGTCGGTAATGTTTCTCATCCAATTTTGGAAACTGCCAGCCTTTCGTTCAAATAGTGTGTCTGCACCTTCCTCTTTCCACTACAGATATCGAAATTCACTTGCTGTTGTCCCGTAGGTTTCCAAGACTATGTTCATTTTTATCAGTCCTAGCTGTCTTTTTTTTGAAGACACCCCTACTTGTTACCAGAAAAGCTCAGTGGATTCTTCCCTGTGCTTAGCATAGAAACAGAAAGCCAGACTCCGTAGCAGACAGAGAAGTTGCACTTGTGAAGTGGCCAGGTGAGCATCGAAAGAAGAAGGCAGGGGGAGGGATCCAGAGGGAGAGCTGGGAGGTGGGGCGCCTCTTGAAAGGACACAGGGAGAGGCACCAAAGGTCTGTGAAGGGTTTGAGGACCTTAAGTGTTTCCTGACCCCTCGTCTCGGTGGGAACCTGCGGGGAAGGTCTCCCAACACGTTAGGAAATGGCTGGGCGGTTCTTGTGCCACCCGCTTGAAGGTGTGGCTGAGATTTTAGTGGGGTCAGAGCGCCTCACTTCCTAGGCACACACTAACAGGACAACAGACAAGCATCGAAGCCGTGGGAAACCGGTATTCACACAGAAAATAAATTCACTGAAGAACAACGAAAATCTCATTACAGAAACCAAATTACTAAATGACTTAATAACGAACACACACAGGAACCTGCAAGAAGCTATTAAAGGCTGGCTGTACATTAACTTACGACCTAGCCAAGTGCACCTGACACTCAACAGCTACACACGAAGAGGTCTCAGGTGAACACGTGCTCACTGGCTCAAGATCTCTAGCACAAAACGATGAAAGCATCGACTATCTGCAGCCGGATCTTGGTTGGGCCCCAGGGCTGTCAACACCTTGCGAGCAAAGCCGCTAAGGAAAGCAGCCTGTGGTTGAACAGGTCTGGCTTGTGGAGTCATTCCAATTAGGGAGACTGTTTATCAGGTGGAACTATGAGCTCTGACAGTCGACAGAAATCGGGAAGACTTCAGACATTCGGCTTATGAGATCATTTTCGAGAACATTCCAGAGAACAAGGATTTGTTCCGCGCTGGATACTGTCAGGAAGTTGGGGGCGGGGGGAACATCAGTACATTTCTCAGCCTCCCCCAGAAGATGACAGGCACGGAAGCTCCAAGCCGATTTGAGAGCACATAAGCACTACTGATAGGGTGACGAAGAGGAAAATATTTGAGCGATATTGAGGTTTGAACAATTTTTATGTTTTCATCTCCATTAAAATGAAAAGTGCCCCCATTTTTGTTTTTCCTGCCATTCTGTGGTCACAGAGTGGCGCTGTGTGGCTCTCAAGTGCTGCTGTTTTTCAGCACGTGCCACTGCTGCCCAGCTGTGCCACTGCGATCATGCATGCCTCAGCCAGCCCGCTGTTGCTATGCAAAGTCTCAGAGGGGTTCCTTGGGAGTGGGGGTGTTGAGGGAAGGAGTTATTTCAGTTTATTGTTGGAAGGTTCATGATTGAAGATGATGCTGTTTGCTCTGTCTGGGGCCCTGGGGAGGCTGGCCGTGGAAAAGCAGGTAAGCAGGAGAGTCCATAGTGAGTCAGGAGGCAGAGAGAGGAGACAAAGGAACGCTGATAAATAGCTGACATCCCCAAAGCCTTTCAGCCCAGGGTAGAGGGCATGACCCGAGATCTCCCAGCATTCTCACTTCCTAGACCTTCATAGTATTCGCATCAAGTCATCACCCGAATCCACCGTCAACTTCAACCTGTTAAACATCAACTTAAAACTTTGGGGTTTAAACAGGTGCTCGAGCTTAGAGACACAGGTCCTGTTCAGTCCGTAAACAGGGCAACGGGTCGCAACATCTGAACCTAACAGCCAGCCTAGGTCCTTTGCTCTTGCACTCCTAGGATTGCCTGGTATGCTAGAAGGTTCTCCGTTCCCACAGCTGAGGAGACAGGCCAAAGGACTCTGTGGGTATGGGCTTCCTCCAGGGAGAAAGACCTGGCTGGGCGTTTGGAGGAACGTCCTGATGTCAGGGGCACCCGTGGCAAGGCAGTCCCTCCTCCGGAAGTACCAGATGGCACGGGGCTATGGCCGTGGCCACAGCTCACCCGGTTCCCGGAGCACTTCGGGTGAGGCTTGGAGACATGGCAGTAAACATTTTCAGTTTCAATGTAAGCACTCAAGAGACCCTTTGAGTTGGAGGTCCTCCTTGCAAATATCCCTTTGGGCCATGAAGGCTGCAGGACCCTCTGACTGAGGCTCACAGGCCCATCTTGGGTGGCCACCTTCGCTCTCTGAAGGACGAGATTTTCTGCAGTGCAAGCTACAAGCAAAACCACACAAACTTTCCTACTTAGGGCCCTAAGGTGGAACGTGAATCCTAGCCTCTTGGGTTTTTGTTTTTTATACTTTTTCAACTGTTTCGTTTTTTAAAATTTCTGCCCTTTTGAGCAAAGACCTAACCACCCACCCCTCCCCACAACCTCCATACCCCAATATCCACCACCCCACACCTCCGTTGAGATACCACTACTCCATGGCAGCATCAGGTTCGGATCAGAAAACAGGTTATAAAGTTTTTACCTTTTCTAAAAGTTCCATACTCATATTGACTGAACTGGCAAATAAGTTCTTTTAGACATTCTTTCAGCAGACAATTCCATCTTCCCTTTTCCTTTGAAAATTCAAGGGGCTGGACCCAGTGTGGTAGCCTAGCAGCTAAAGTCCTCGCCTTGCATGCACTGGAATTCCTTATGAGCACCGGTTCTAATCTCAGCAGACCCACTTCTCATCCAGCTCCCTGCTTGTGGCCTGGAAAAGCAGTCGAGGACGTCCCAAAGCCTTGGGACCCTGCACCCGTGTGGGAGACCTGGAGCAGGCACCTGGCTCCTGGCTTCAGATCAGCTCAGCTCCGGCCGTTGCAACTGCTTGGGGAGTGAATCAATGGACAGAAGATGTTCCTCTCTGTCTCTCCTCCTCTCTGTCTGACTTTCCAATAAAAATAAATAAATCTTAAAAAAAAAAAAAAAGAAAATACAGGGGGCAAACAAACTCGGCCTCAGTTTCTCCTGCTGTGGGCTCCTAACACAGATCACTCCTGCACTCCCCAAATGTCCTTCTTCCTCTTCCTCCTCCTCTTCTTCTTTTTGGATACAACATGTTCTATCAAGTTGGGAAGGTTTATAGTGGCAAACTGTGCCATGTATGTGATATCAATGGCACCTGCACTTTACTGATAATGGAACTAAGTAGTGAAGCTCCACCGAGGGGGACGTGGCTCCTCCAGGCTTCCGACTTGGGTCTTTGTCCTTTGAGGTTATCTGCTACGGTTAGATATTTTGAACTAATTCTTGGCAAAGCAGAATTAAAAATCACCAAATCCCCCAAAGTTTTGAATGAATAAGCAAGAGTGACCGTTCACATTCATCTTCAAGGCAACATTGAACCGATTGCTTACCCGGCAGAAACACACTGAGTTGGTTTCACAGTTCAAACATTCTTCCCCAACAACCACACGCCTTCATGCAAGTGGGCAATTGTTTTTCATCAGCCTCCACATTCCTGTCCACAAAAAGAAAATCTTAATTCAGCTTATTGTCCTCCATGGAATGCATTTATTTTTACTATTTCCCTCTTTAATTTTAACAGGAATTATCTCGCTCATTTTTTTTTAATAGCAAGTCTCACATTATACTGATTCATAATCTGTCTCAAACTTCTTTTTTGTCATATTAAGGATTTATTTACTTTTATAAAGTCAGATTTACAGAGAGAAGGAGAGACAAACAGAAGATCTTCTGTCCCCCAATTCACTCCCCAAGTGGCTGCAATGCCAGAGCCAAGCAAATCTGAAGCCAGGGCCCAGGAACTTCTTCTGGGTCCCCCTTGCGGGTGCCAGGTCCCAAAGCTTTGGGCCATCCTCAACTACTTTCCCAGGCCACAAGCAGGGAGCTGGATGGGAAGTAGAGCAGCCGAGACTGTCACCGGCACCCTTATGGGATCCCAGCCCATGCAAGGTAAGGATTTAGCCACTGAGCCATCGCACCGAGCCCAGAAACTTCTTAATTTGGAAAATCATTGCAAGATATTACCTTGCTATGTTCAATAATGACAGAGCTCCTTTGTTTGTGATATTCCTATATTCAGGCTTTTTTTTAACTGACACCCAATCCTACCAATGGGTCAGTATAATATGATGCGTAGTTTGAGCTGATAGATATGTAGATTGCCTATATTCGATTCGGCACACATTGTATACAGGGTTCACCATGTGAGTCGGACAACATCGGATAACTGTACAGGACATTTGGTCAGGCAGTGGCACAGCCAGGCTGCCAGAAAAGTGTCTAAATACCTGCTGTCGGGTGCCGTGTTAATCCTGTCTCAGACCACACACAAAGCCTGCATTGTCCAGCTGTGCTCCACAGAACACATCTTGATTTTCACTGATTCAGTCATTCTTTTCTCCCTACAGCAATCCTAGAACTGCTATTTACTTCATTTGCTCAGTTTTCAAATTCACACCATTGCACACAACAGTATTCATGTTGGCGTTCAACAAGTAATTTGCTAGAATTTGATGTAATTCACAGAATTCAGGGGCACTGCTGAGGTATAGTGTGTAAAGCTGCTGCCAGTAGTGCCAGCAGCTCAAACAGACACCGGTTCACGTCTGGCTTGATTAGCACTCTGCGATACTACAATTAGGCCATAACCATCCCTTACAGTGAATCTTTTTTTATGAAAAGGGATTCACTGTAAGAGTCCTTCCCAAACATTCATTCACAGCCCATAGAAGTCTAAAGCACTACAAATACGAAGTCTAGCAGTTTCCTCGCAAACAGTATTATCTGAAAAGTGGCATGTAGTTGCAACCCGACCCTCAGAGGAAGTTTGCAGATTCCTTAACGGGGTGCTCCATCACGACTCGGTTCTTCAAAATCGGACTTTTCCACCGCCGCTCTTCTGGGGAGGAACTTGAACCGATGCAGGAAGACAAACAAACCCTCGCCATGACTACAGAGACTGTCCCGAGGCAACTTTCCATTTCAGAACCCCATTGCAGTCACGTGACAAGACCACAGCCCTGGCAACCCCAGTCACACTTTGGAAATGTTCCTTCCACCAGAGCCACATGAACTCCCCTGTATTGTATGAGCTCCAACAGTTAAGTCCTGGTGTCGAAGATCACAGGAGTGCTGTTAAAATCGGCCCATAGCTAAAGCGGAGTGGGGAAAGGAAGCTGAGCTCAGTTACCACTTGTTTGCTATGTTACTAACAATACGTTCTTTGATGTTTTTAGTATTAAGTGTGGCGGACAGTTTTTTTTTTTTTCTCCATTATAGGTTATTGCAAAAAGCTTTAGGGCGAAGCATTTTAAAATACAGGAAGAAGAAATACTTTGATACTAAAGCAGGGCTGGTGAGAATGGGACTGAGGACTCTACAAGATTTACAGGAATTAAGTCAATGTCTTATTGTGTGCTGGGCGACTAGGAGGTATCCCCTAAATAACAGCCTATTTGGATGACTAGACAGAGATAGTTATAATTGAACCCCATCTGCATTTTGTAAGAGAAAAAAATGATTAACATATGCACTCAGTTGGGAACAGGCAGACCTGTGAATAAAGTTGGCACATGGCTGGACGACGGATGACCACACCTCCAGCCCTGCCGGGGGCCCACAGGCCAGGGGAGCACTAAGGGAGGAGGACGTGGAATGGAGAGCTGGCTTCACTGAGATCTCATCCTTAAAGTCATCAGCTTGCCTGCATTAATGCCATCAGGAGCCAGCAGTAATCACCCACTCTAGGAATTCTCACACTGCTGCTGGATTTCACTCCTCTTCAACTCTTGAGCAAAGGTTTAAGCTAATCAAGACACCATTTCCTTCAACATCTTACAGCGATGCCCAGGGGCCTTTGTGAGTGAACAAACAGCCAGTTCTCTCAATAAATGTACAGGTGGAAATCGGTTTATGGACATGCTTTTCATTCTTTAATCTCACTACTTGTTGCCTTTTCTGTTTTATTGGACCATGTATTTACGAAAGGGTATTTACTAAAAGTATTAAAACAACTAACACCCACTTCTACCCTATTCAGCATGGGAAATCAAAGATTTTCAACCCATCTGAAGCCCTGGTCTCTTTATCCCTGTTCATAGACCCCTCTCTCCCTGCTGGAGATAACTCCCTCAACTTTGGGAAATTATTAAATACAACCTTCAGATTTTTCTCCGTATGCATTCATCCCTAAAAACATATAATACTGCTTACACACATATGGCCTACATATAATAGGTATCCTAAATTGAAGATTCTTCACAAATTGTTTCATGCTAAACGATTGTCTCTATCGATAAATATAACTTAAAAATTAATTGTATAATTTTAGCATATCTTTATCAACTGCATTTTTATTCAGATTTAGACTCTTTGAAGCTTTTGTTGTGGTTACAGTCATTTTTAGAAGCATTTATCAGCATGTCCCCCGGCAGACTGCAAGAGCTTATCAAAGGCAGAAAACTTACAGTAGTAACAAGGGTGCCACTGCAAATCCACCGATCATTGCGAGCTATTTCATTTTCATTCAAAGTGAAATCTTTTTATCCTCACATTAACCCTTTGAAGGAAGGTTATCATCATTTTACATATGTGGAAAAATATGAGGGCGATGTTGTGGGTAGCATGAATTTACAGCTTTACCAAATATAGCTGATTATTCTTTGAAGTTATAATAATTTCCAATGTTCTCATTAATGCTAAAAGTTGTTATTCATCCATAGATCAATCATATAAATTCATATAATAAAGACTGAGAGAGAGAGCAAAATAAATTCTGTCTTAGAAGTGGAAGGAGGGGACCCAGCAAGGTGGCCTAGCGGCTAAAGTCCTCACCTTGCACGCGCCGGGATCCCCATATGGACACCGGCTCTAACCCCATCAGCCCCGCTTCCCATCCAGCTTCCTGCCTGTGGCCTGGGAAAGCAGTGCAGGATGCCCAGAGCCTTGGGACCCTGAACCCATGTAAAACTCCTGGAAGAAGCTCCAGGGTCCTGGCTTTGGATCAGCTCAGCTCCAGTCATTGCGGCAGCTTGGGGAGTGAATCAATGGACAGATCTTCCTCTCTGTCTCTCCTCCTCTCTGCATATCTGACTTTCCAATAAAAAGAAAGGAATCTTAAAAAAAAAAAAAGCAAGGAGGTCACACGCAGAGTTATGCATTACAATACACAGAGAGCTCCGGAGGAGAAGGAGGAGGCGACATGTTCCTGGTCTCCGGGTGCATACCTGTCTAAGGGGCAGAGACACAGCACTGGTCTTTGTTTTTCCAATGTTCACAGGGCTCTGAATTAACATCTTAAGAACAGATAGCCAATTGTTTCCAACCTCCAGCTTTTTTCTCAGTTTAAACATCATTAACTTGTCCGTGAGTGTCATTATCGCCTCCAACACATCTTTCTGTGTGAATCATGAAGGAGTTTTTCCCAGCCTTGGTTCATTTCCTTATAGCTCCCCTAGGAGGAAATAATATAGGCAGCGTGTTTGATTGTTGGAGAAACATGCTTGGAGTATGAACACAAAGAGATGAAATATTTTTGCAACTGTGGTCAAATCAAATAAAAATCAAACTCTGCAACTCATGGAGGCTGTGGGAAATGTCATTTTTCACAAACACGCTGACACTAAGGAGATTTCAGAAGTTCACAGAAGATGGAATTGAATTCAGGGTAAGGTTAATTTGGTGAAAAATATTTTGAAATTCATGCATAGTTTATTCATCATAGACACATCCCGTTACTGTTTCTGAAGGGCCCTCAGATGAATGCTTGAAGCTACAGTGATTTCAACATCCCACCCAATGGAAAATTCCCACAATGTTGGGCATGGGCTTTGTGCCACAGGACAGCTGATTCTTTCTTCATCAAAGAGATCCTCTGTCTGCAGCAGGATTTAGAAACTCTGGCATTTTTGTAAGGGAGCTATGCAAACACACTTGTCTAAGTAAAAGGGTAAGGCTGGCTTTGTAAATAAATACAACTTCAAACCATAAACATGTTAGGCTATGCTTGAAACAACAAAACTGTATTTCAGTCTCACATCCCACGCTTTCATAGCGACTGCCTTTCCCCCCAGAAAACGTAGGCATCCCATCACCTCCCTAAGACACTAGCCTCTAGTCCCTGGAGGGAGAATTCAAGAGCTCAGGAAGGTCTGATCTGTTGCATTGAATCGAGCAAGCTTTTGGAGACAATGAATCATGCCTTCTGATTATGTCATTTTAGAGAAAACATCAAAAGCCACAACAGAAATTCCCTTCTTTTGTTTCTTTGACACCTCCATTCTGAAAAGATCTGAGTTTCTTAAATATCAACCTGCATTACTTATTGTTCCAGCTTTCTGCTATTGCAGACCCTGCAAAGCAAAGGTGACGTGAGAATAACTGGATCCCCACCGTTCACGTGGGAGACGTGGACTAAGCTGGTGGCTCCCAGCCTTCCCCATCCAGCCCCAGCTTCTGTGGGCATCAGCAAGAGAACCACTGGGTAGATGCTCTCTT